TGTAGAGAAATATTTATTTCAATTATTAAAAGATAAAGAAAAAAAAGAACTGGAAAAACAGAAACCATCCTTTGATTTTGAATTGGAAGAATCTGATATTCATTTTTAAAAATTCAATGTCTTTTTTTCTTAATGTAAATATATATAAATGTATAAAAAAAATTTTAACACCTTACAACTTTAATTATTATTATTATTGGCAATGATATTTTAGAAGTACCAGTCCACCGGATCAACGATAAATATAAAAAAAATAAAGAATATTTGTGACCTTTTTTATATTTATGCTTAATATCCCAGATCTATTACGCATCTTTTCTATCATTGATTGATTGGCTGACTGACCACAAATAAAATTTCGGATCGGCCCGAAATTTATATTGTATTCCCATTAAAGAAAGTATTGCCAATACTAATACTAAATTATTATTAGCCGTAATTATTATGTGCTTGTTTTTACCTGTTTTGGTCATGATGACCATGATCTTCAATTTCATACAAATGGTTATATTTATAGTAAACCATGTACTTATCCCATAAACCGTATTCACATGCCAAAAGTCTTATTTATTAATAATATCATTAGTCACAAATTTGTGACTTCTACGGTTTAAGAGATAATAATATCAAAATAATAAATTGTAGTAGATTCGATGAACTAGAAGTTTTTTATTTGCAAAATGTGCACAATTGCAGTAGCTTGACAATAACATAATTGGATTCATTTACCATTTACTTTATTAAATAAATAAAATTAATAAAAAATTCTATCCCTGTTTTTTTTTTCCTAAATCAATCAATATATCTGTTTCATAGACACAATGATATTTTTGACTGTATTTTCAACCATAATCTCTTCAATTTTTTGGCGCCCAACATGATGTACCAATAGATTAAATAGGACCCCCACTTAAATGTAACATGTTTTACTGTTTAACCTAGTAGTAGTAGGAAATTAGTTGCGCCACAGAATATTCAGGGTTCATCACAAATTTTAAAGTCAAAGAAAAGACACATGTAATAAATTTATATCAAAACAGCCTTCACAGTTCAAAGTAAAATTTGCATCACACTTGTAGTATAAATTCATAAATCAGGCAAGGAAGGGGTTATCTTTTTCTCTTCAAATTTGTTTTTACTTTCTTGATGATTTATACATAGAATTATCCTTATGCTGCATTTTCAAATTAATTGCATTTTTGCTTGTGATCGTGTAAACTTGCAAGATCAAGTAAAGCTGAACTTTTTGTGAACTTCTAGAACCCATTTGTAATAAATTATATTCTGGCACGGTCGCGTTTACTTCGTCGAAAATTATTTCGTCGACGAAATGAATCAGACCCTTGAATTGTATATTGCGTGTCACAGTAATACATCATTTGTAGATCTTCAGGTCACATGACAAAAATATATCAACCATTTTTACTGGTATTTTCTTTTGCTAATGCTTTTCTTTTTTTTGTGTGTGCTCTTTGATCATAATAGATTAATAGCCTTTTGGCCTTATAATTTTTCATATTATTAGTCAGTAATTGAAATAAAAATTCATTATTATATTTTCAAGTTCTTCATCAAAGTATGGATACATTTCTTCAAAGTCTTCTTCAGATAAAGCTCCTCACGAGCTGGCTTGCGAGCTGACTCATGCGGAGCCTTATCTTCAGATCACTATTGTCTAAAAAAGAAATATTTAATTAATCATTAAGTTATTTATATTTTCATTATCTGGGGTTTTTTTTTTTTTGCTTTTCTTGCTTTGACTGCACAGAAATTTTTTAAGTGCCAAGTTCTCTCTTTTAATTCCAACCATTTTAAATATTTTAAGATTTTTATTAGAAGAAAATTTTGACAGAAAAATACTTTGTGGTAATTTACTTTATAAACAAAATTGATTAGAATTATGGGGTCGATTTCAAGTTGCACTTATTTAAAAAATTCCAACGCTTTTAACTATATAGAATAATTGATTTATGTTGGTTACATGAAAATTTCCTGAAATAATTAATTCGCAATTCGCGATAAACGGGATATATTCATTTTAATAGTAAAATAATAAGAAGAAGAAAATTAATTAATAGTCAGAATCTTGAATTGTTTTTTAATTGTAGAAATTTAAATTGTTTCAGTAGGTGAAATAAAACCACATTCACATTATGAGTTAAATGCAAGAGAATGGAGAGTAAAATGAGATACAACTAAATTGATTTACTACGTATTGAAGTCTTTAAAGCATTTTAATTTAGTAAATTTAATTACCATATATTTGGTTTAATGTTATTAATTCTTATTATATTTAAAAATATAATAGTTTTATCGAAGATATATAACAAATATACAGCTGATTTATAATGAGCAGACAGATATAAGGTTTTTGAATAATATAATTAGAATCATTATTTACATTTTATTAAATCTAAAACATATTAATTGGAAGTATGAATATATTTAATGTATATCAAATATTCTGTGTAAAACTTTATTAATTACTAAAAAGAATCCAAATTTGAAGTAGGTGGTACTCCATTTCTAAATGTTGCTCACAAAAGACAATGCGATGTTCCGTAGTATTCCCAATTATTTATTTAAATTAATTTTTCTTTTTTTTATATTTTTTAGAAAAATGGTCATTATAATAAATTCGGCAAATCCTTTTCAAGACAAGATTGTGAAAACCAACATACAGAGTGTATCAATAGCTCCCCTGCTTTTGTATAACAAATCTTTTGTAATAATGGTTTCAAATAGTCCAATAATACCCTTGAAATTGATTGTATTTTGAAAAAAAAGCAATTCTTTAAAAAAAAGTCATTAGATAATAAATAATAAAATGCTTTATTGACAGTGGAATAAATTGATTCGAACTTAATACAAGTAATAGAGCATCAAACCTACCTCACAAAAAAAAGATATAAACCTCTGCCAACAATACTTTGATGCAGTTGAAAATCGAATAAAGCTTAATAAAGAAATATTTACATAAAAATCAATTACATATATAATGAATCTATCTTTCGAAGGAAAGCGCGAAGGGATATAAAGTCGTACCAAACTTTCTTTATCCTTTGTTGTTTTAATCTGAGTGGATCTAATTAGTTTAAGAATTCGTACGCTTGAAAAAAGGGTAGGCACTTTCTTCCCTCTTTTTTTTTATATATACCGTTTAACAATGTTTGCACAACATCTACCAAGTCCACATAAAAATTAAGATTGAGGCGGGTATCGAGCGTGGGATTCCTTTAGATTGGTCAATTTAATTTTCAGTTATGTAACTGTAAATTCATTTTCACACATAATATTCATCAATTAATAACTTATTCGTCAAGGATCTAACTAATTGTTAATCTCAAACAAAATTTAACTATTAATTATCATTACAACAACATACGTTGGATTTCAGATTATGGAAAATAATTTATCATGAAATGACTAATTTTATTAAATTAAATTATAAACAAGTTTATAAATGGGGATGCAAAATGAGACATCGAGATTTTCATTTACGCTTTTGAATTAGGCATAAATCGTCATTCAAAAGCCCAATTAATAGTGCATTAAATGCTGTCCCGAGTGTCAAATTTTCATAAATAAATTTTTTGTTCAAACAAATAAACATAACATGTTTGTAATTTTTTTGCATATTCTTCACCTTCTTTACGTGAAATTGCCCTTCCAGCTTCCTAAATCATAAATCATAATTCAAAATTCAAAATGGATAAAAATATTAAAATGGAATAAATCATCACAAATTATCAAAATC